AAAGGAATAAGACTAAAGCCCATGGAAATTAAAGGTGTTATATGAAGGAAACCCCTACCTTGTTGATAGGAGATCCCTAGATCTAGGTTCAAAGGGACAACCTAATTACATAAACCATGTGTGGTAACTATGGGGTTTTCCTATACCAAGTTTATTCATATGATGTAAACAATGATCAAATTGGTATATGCTAAGCAAGGCTTTTAATGACCATTGTATGTGTCGATGAGTAGAGCAACATAAGTCACCTATGTGAGAGTAAAATGGGGCCGCTTTAAGGAGACTATGGGGTATAGTTCTTTCAAACTCTTGCAGAACCATGTGATGTTCACGGCTATATGGACATACCCATGAGAACTAATATACTTCTCAAAAAGACAATTGTGTGAAGTATATCATTGTTTACACAAATGGTAGAACAATTAAAGGACATCACATCTATTGATTAGCCAGTAAAGTAAATATATTGTTACAATAAAAAAGTTCATAGGAGGACACTTACCTATCCTATGTAACTATCGTTCGTAGGGTCTATCACCAAATCAAGTCAAGATGTTTTGATAAAATCATCAATTTCATTCATGGAGGGGATTATTGGAAAAAATATGATAAATTGAAAACTTTGAGACATATTTTCTAAGTGTAAAGATAAAGAATCAAATAATGAATTTACTGATTCTTGTTTTACTCTGTGAGATCTTTACAAATGATATCTCATATGCTCAAAACGGTTGAGTGGTGAATGAGAAATTGATGCTCAAAGTATGGTATAAGTGAATTGTATTGAATAAGGAAAATGAGAAAAATCAAGATCCCACATTGGTGGGATATCAAGCAAGGAAATGGTTTTTATACACAAACCAACATACTAGTCAGCAAATGAAATGGGTTGAAAATATGCCTCGTGAGCAGGCGCTGGGGTGCAAATCGAAGCCCGTCGAACCCCTCGGGGTTAGGGGTATACCCGTACGACATGGGGGACGTGAATTTCTGGACCGATCGGGCCCTTCGGGGACCTGCGAATATTTTACCCACTACGAATTTAATATTTTCCTTAATTGTGGCATATTTTTTTAACATTCTGAATTAAAAATAATATTATATGATTTACTTTTAATTAGAATATTAATATGGTATGACTTGTAGTACACGAATATATTCTAATTAAAGAGTTATTAATTGATTATTTTCGATTTTATTAGGATACTAATTAATAGTTGGTTTTTCAAAATATATTATTTCCAATTATTCTCCTATGGGAAACACTATAAATATCGTGTAAACATACTAGGTTTTACACAACTCAAAAATTCTTTTCCTTTTCTCTTGTTTTTCATTGATAGTATCTAGCAAGATTAGGTTCGTGATCTCGCTAGTTGTGCTACTGTACGTTGATCATATCATTGTTGTATCTTAGGAGACAGACAACCAAGACATCTCGAGCATCAAGTTTGGTATTATGTCAATATTTGTGTTCTCTATTCTAAACTGTATCTTTTCATTATTAATAAAAAATATTATTTTCGTTTCGGACTTTTATTATGTAACATTTTTTAATAAAAAAATTAGGCACTAAATCAAATCAAAATTGATAGTTTAAGTATTAAATTAGTAGTTTACCCTTTTAATTTATTAGTTTTCAACTTTTCAACACATATTCGACAAGGGGAAAATTTTCAAATATTGTATTGGGAAAAAATAATTCTTCGAATAATGTTTGAATCGAATTAATTCGTGGAATAGGGCGAAAGCAAGTTAACCGTGCAGTCCTGGCTAGGGGTGAGCATTTGATATAATCGAGTCAAAATATTTTGAGTTATTCAAGTTGACGAGTCATATTTTACGACTCGAACTTAACTTGAAATTTTCTCGAGTCAAGTCGAGTTTAAGAAATTCGAGTTGAGTTATTCAAGTTTCTATTCTAATTTTATTATAATTATTTATAGTATTATGACAATGATTTGATTCAATTTTTTGACTTTCTCTAACCATATATAGGGATGGCAAAAAAATCCGAACCCGACGGGGAAAACCGAAAACCGAATTAAACGGGTCAGGTTCGGGGATGATAAACGGGGACGGGGACGGGGATGGGTAAAACCCATTTATTTTAAACGGGGACGGGGACGGGGACGGGTTTGGTAATCCCCGCCCCGATTACCCGCCCCAATACCCGACCCTATAAATATTAAAAATAATTATTATATATATATATATATATAATATTAATAAATTTAATTTAAATAAAAAAATATATATTTATATATTTAATTTAAATATATATATATACCCGGCCCGATTCTCGGCCCAATACCCGACCCAATACCCGGCCCAATACCCGTTTAAATAACCGTTTATGCTAAACGGGGATACCCGTTTCCCCGCGGTTTTCCCCGATTACCCGACGGGGATCCCCGTTTAAATCCCCGCGGTTTTTTAAACGGGGACGGGTACCGGTTTTTTAAACGGGGACGGGGACGAGGGGACCAATACCCGGCCCGAACCCGGCCCGTTGCCATCCCTAACCATATAAGATATATATACTATATTATTTTCACATTATAATGATTTTTAATATATAAATACAAACTAAAATTATAAAAAATATTCATAATTTTATATTTCAAAGAAATTATTTTGAGGGTAAACTGTCGATGAGAGTATAAAGGAGTCGAAGAATTGATGGTAAAAATAATTTGCAAGCAATTGTAGTCGAAAGGCCAAATTGAGTAAAATGCAAAGTTAAAGAGACTAAATAAAAGAGATAGAGAGAGTACATTTTTAATAAAAAAATAGAAATTGAAGTTACATATGTATTCTATTGTGTTATATGAGTATTATGGCAATGAAGTATGAATCGAAGAAATAAGGAAATTATGAAAAATTGAGGGACTAAATTGAAAACCAAAAAAAATATTATCAAAAAGAGGAATTGAAAGTACATATGTATTCTACGATGTTTTAAGAGCGTGTGGTCAAAATTTGATAAAGAAAATGGACTTAAAATGAAGGAGGAATTGAAAGAATAATGAAATCAATGACTAAATTGTAAAATTGTCAAAATACTTAATCATATTTTCAGTTTTCGAGTAACTCTAAATTTCAACTCGAAAACCGAATTGATAATTTGAGTTGACTCGGATTACTCGAATAACTTGAAATTGAAAAAAAAAATCAAATTTTCTAATCGAGTTTTACTTACCCCTAAGTGTCACGCTGCACTCCCTTATAAGTAAAAAAGTTTGTCGTTTGCGACACCATGGATTAATTCCAAAGCATTATCTGAAAAATATGCATGAAAAAATACATGAAAATGCATGATAAAATGCGTTTTAAAATCCGTTAAAATGCATGAAAAATCAACTGTCCACATGCATGAAATTTTGAGCACAGTGTGACTTGCATGAAAAAGTGGGTGTCGCATAGTATTCCATGCGAGTTAGGGTTAAATGTATTAACCAATTTCATCTACATGGAAAAAAATTCTTGGAATTAATAAAGAAAATACGAAAAAAAATCAGGAAAGATAAATTACTCTTAGTTGTCCCTAAGGCCTAAACTATAATAAATATTATTTTATTGTTATTTTTTTAAAATTGTAAAACGATCATTAGATTTAATAAATTTTATAACATTATCATTGTAGTTAAAAAGGGTGTTGTTCTTCCTATACATTTCTAGTTTAAGTAGCTACGTTTGAAGAGTGTATATGATGTCGAATTATCGATGTTTATAAAAAACTTTGTGCAAAAATATCTAGTAACCACTTTTTATATATTTATGAAGAATTCTTCCACATAATAAATGATGGAACTATACTTTCAGCGAGCCATTGCCCCATATATTTTTATTACTAAAAATATATAAAAGTAAATATTTATTAAAACCTTTAAATTTTAATTTATTTTGATTTTCCCTTTTAATTTTATTGTTAATTATATTTTCCCCGAATTTAGATAGTTATATGACTCCCTCCATTGCCAACAGATCAGACTTGAACAGCCTTCTATTTGGGAGCAATAATAGTCATTTCATGTTTCCCTGCATGGAAGCTTCCTTCAACGACCATTAAAGTACTCGTAGACTGATCCTGGTCTATCTCTACATTCTCGACCTGGGTGCTCGAAGGAGCCTGCTCAGCTAAACGATTACCATAACGGTACGTTGGTTATCCTTCCTGCTTTTATCAGAAACTCCTTTTCGACAAAACTTTCCTTTATTCACAACGGGGACGCATGCCTTGCGGTCCTTGTACCTTCCACCATATTCGGTTCACTCTGCACCGGGTTTTCCTCACGATCCATCAAGGTTAGGATGGGTATGGGTCGGGTTGGGTCGAATTTTTAGTCCACCCGACCTAATCTGAAGAAAAAAAATCCTTAAATCCAACCTGATCCGACCAAAATAATATTTCACTCAACCTGATATATGACTTAGAAACTCGATCCAATCCGATCCAAAATAATAAAAAATATTATTTTTATTTAATAAAAAATATTATTTTTATTTAATAAAAATAATTACTTAATTAAAAATAATAATATATAGAAAGATATTATTATAATTATTTATAAATATATAAAGTAAAATTATATATTTTTTTTGGGTTGAGTCGAGTCGGATATTTTTCACCATAAATCCGAACTCGATTCGACCCGAACATCATATTTAAAAATCAACTCGATTCGACCTAAACTCAAAATTTTTTAAAAAAATCCGATCCGATCGGGTCAAACCGCGAGCCACCAGTATGGCTGCCATTCTCAGCAATGCTCCTACTATTTGCAGACACTTTTCTTCTCCAATGCAAGCCGTCGTTCTTCTTCCTTTGAACCACTTGCATCCAAGGTTATTTAGATATGTATTAATCTTATATATCGTGTCAAACAATATTGATAAACTTCTTATAAAAAATATTTTATTTCATTTTATATTCTCTAGCTTTCCACGTATCCATCTGGAATCCTCTACTTCTCCTGTACAAGGTCATCCTTATATCCAATATTGGCCGTCGAATCTCATCAACTGCCCCACATTAAATCAGCTTTGCACAAGTTGTTGCAAATTTCACAATTATTTCTGAAAAGAAAGAAAAAGAAAATTCTAGCAAGAATCATAGCTGAAGAAGATGGCAAGCATGGAAACGAAAGTATTTCCATTTTTATTCCTTTTTTTTCTTGTTTTGATTGTATTTTCTATGATTGAAATAGTTAAGATTATTGTTTTCGAATTTTTAAAAAATATATTTTAATTTTTAGGAGGTAGAGTTTGAGAACAAGGAACTGAAGCACTTAGGATTCGTGAGAGTGGCTGCGATCCGCACCCTGGTTTACGTTTCGTACCTTTACGAGTTCGCCAAACAGAACTACGGCCCGTTTAGATCAACCGTCGGAACTGTCGAGGGCGCTGTTACGACCGTCGTTAGTCCCATATACGAGAGATTTAAGGATGTTCCTGATCTTCTTCTCGTCTTTCTGGATAAGAAGGTAATTCGGTTCTTTCATAATTCCTTGTTTTGGGTCTAAAGTGTTTCTGGAATTCACTTTTTTTTCTCTTGTTTAATTTCATCAAGTAATTGAATGATTGAATTTAGTAGCTAGATTTTTTTTTAACATAATTTAGTTTGTGGTTGAATATGAAAATTAAACTTTATTTTTAATAAGTAAATGAATCTGATATAATCGAATGAGTTTTAAATCGAGCTTACATTTAAAAAAAAAATTCAATCAAGTTTAATTGAGTTTCGATCTTCGAGGTACGAAATTTGAGTTAAATTCAAACTTCTTAGATCTTCAGTTCAACTTGGCTTGATTATGCTTAGTAGCAAACCTTAGCTGAAACTGAATTTCGAAGCTGTAAAAGGAACTGTGCACCAATCTGCTCCCGACTCTGAAACGAGATTCATTAAAATAACTGCAGGTAGATGAGGCTTCACATGATTCTGAAATGAAATTCGGTCAAGCTTGATTCGAATTTTAAGTCGAATTTGAATTTTAGTACTTCAGCTGGGGTCGATTATGCTCTTAGTAGTAAATCTCAGCTAAAACGAGACAAATTAAAAAAATTGCAGGTAGATGAGGCTTCACACAGATTTGAGGATCATGTTCCAGCAAAAGCGAAGCAAGTGATTTACCAAGTCCAAGATTTGCTTCACAAGACAGCACAACATGCTCGGAAGCTAGGCAACGAGGCTCGAACCATTGGACCTCGAGGAGCGGTGCGCTACGCCGCGGGGGAGTACAAGCAGCTCCTTGTGGTATGGTCATCCAAGTTGTGGGTTAAACTGAATGACAGCTCCACTTTCCACTCGATGGCCAAGAAGGTTGTTCCGATGGCGGCAAATTTGTCAGGTAAGTATAACGGTTTCGTTAATGACATGAGTGGGAAAGGGTATCCTTTGTTTGGATATCTGCCGTTGATACCCGTTGATGAGTTGAGTAAGCAAATTAAGGAAGCCGAAGCAAAGGAAAAAGAACATTTAGATGATGATAAATCAGATTCTATTGTAGCAAAGGAAGAAAAAGAACATTTAGATGATGATAAATCAGATTCTACTGAAGCAAATGAAGAAAAAGAACATTTAGATGATGATAAATCACATTCTACTGAAGCAAAGGAAAAAGAACATTTAGATGATGATAAATTAGATTCTACTTCTGATTCAGATTAGGAGTTCAATTTTTCTTATTTGGAAAATAGAAATATATTTAATTTTGTGGGGTTTTTTTGTTGTGTTGGTAGAGGCAATGCCAAGTTTGCCATTGTAAATTGGGTGTTTGTTTAAACTCTTTGCTTATGAATATGAGTATAATATGTATAATAGAGACGAAAAGTTATATATAATAAATACAGTGATATATTATCTATTTAATTATTAAATTATGCATTTCATTCTAATTTGATTATTGAATTATTTTTCTTAATGGATTATTAACAGTTCATTTTAGTGTTAATCAAGTGTGTATCATTAAATCACTAACGTTAATTTATTGTAGGATAAAGTATGTGGATAGTACCTTGTGTTTTCGGTTTGATCGATTTTGATTTTCAATTTAAAAAATAGTTTCTGTTAGATTTTAATCTCTCAATCATTAACTCTCTTTAAATTTTAACGAAAATACTAGGTGACAATTAAAAATTTAAAAAAAAAACACTTGTAACCTGTCTTCTTGTTCTTTTTCTTCTTCCGCCATTAAAGCTGTAATTCAACATCTTGTTGAAAAACTCTACCGATGAATGTTGTTTAGCCTTCTCCAAAATCCTAACCTAATGGCCTAAACCCTAAGATCCATTTTTCAATTCTACATCATGTGAAATAATTTAACTCTTAAAATAGTTTGGTTTTCATCGGTTTATGTTTTCTTGTCATAAAGGTTCAATCTTTTAAAAGAAAAATATATCGTAAAGGGGAGAAATAAAAAGTTTTTTATCACTAAGAGAGATTACGGTACTGTGATGATGATTAACACATTGGCTACAATCAAGTGTGGCCACCGGGGTTCCGATATCACCCAACTAATGAAGACCTGGTTCTTTATTATTTAAAGCCAAAATCTATAGAAGAAAGCTCAAGCTTGATATTACAAGAGAGACTGATGTTTACAAGTGGGATCCTGAGTTGTCTAGTAAAATTTTTCTCCCTCTGGAATTTTCTGCCGACGATGAGGATCGTCTCATCCAACTCCAAGCCCAAGAAAGACAAGTTCATGATCGACGCCTCGATAAAGATCAATAGTGTCAACAATAGGCTAGCGGTAGTGGATATGAAGCTCGACTCTGAGCCTGTGTATTTGGAGACGTTTGGTAATTGTGGCTGCTTTCAATGGTGTTAGCAGTGTTTTGCGACTTTTGCTTAATGTTTCTTAGGGTATTGCCCTGATCTGGTCTTTTGTTAGGACTGCTATCAAGCCGCCTTCTTCTCCTTAAATGTGGGGAATTTTATCCTAATGAAAAATAAAAATAAAAATAAAAAAGCACTATTCTAACACTTTTCCCCAATTTACCAAACTAGCACGATTTCTTAAAGTGAGGTAAGTAGACAAGTTTCACAAAATGAGTCTTGTTTATGTGACGAAAGACTCGTTTTACAGGGAGAGCTTTCCTCTGGTTTTGCTATTGTTACAGTATAGGAGAGAGGAGCATCCTATAAGGAGAGTCTCTTGAGAGCTCAATTCCCATGACAACCTTCCAATTTTAAATTAACAATATTGTGTAGGATTTTTTTTTTACTTAGGATAATTCTTTTATGATTTAGATTTTTTTGTATTTTTCTATTAATAATTTATTTTTATCTCTTAAAATTTTATGAGTTCACATCCTAACATAAAATTATGTATTTGTCTCTATCTTAATTTTTAATTTGTTAATTAAGTTCCATTAAATTTAACAATAGTCCAATGGATTTAAAAATTAAAATTCAACCGATAACGTAAATTTAAATTTAATGAAAATCACTCGACAATGTTATCAATTGGTCTCTAACTTTTTAAAATATAAAATTAATGTTTTAAAATCCAAGGACTATAGGGGTTGGAGGCAAAATTAAACCAAAAATATTAATACTTTATAAGACACATAAAAGAGACAAATAATAATAAATAATCTTAAAAATCATCAAAAACTTTAAACAACAATATAAATATGACAAATTAAATATTATATATTACTCCTCCAAATATTGAAATTAAAACTATTTAAGATTTTTTTTATGTTACTTTTGTATATATAATTCACAATTAGATCTAATATTTTCCTTCTGTGATATTTAAACAAATGAATTTTTATTAAGTCAAATATTTTGTTGGTAATTGATCACGTGTTAAAGAACACATTTTTAATATCTATTTTTATCTAATTATAATATGAATTGAAATATTTTATAAAGGATATCAAATTGGCAAATTAAAATCGAAAGGCTCGTCTTGGGAAATGAGCTTTCAGGGAAGGCTCTCCCTATAGGACGCGCCTCCCTCTTGTACTGCCACATCAGCCAAATTTGGAGAAAGCTCTCTGTAACATCCTCCATGCCGGGTTAGTGATTAATTTGTAAAGTTTCAGCATTTGGTGATTTAAGTAAAATGATGGAAGAGTTCAATGACCTATTTGAGTTATTTGGTGTAGGATTGAATTATAAAGAAGGAAAATTAAGAGGGCAAAAGAGTATTTTAGTAAGAGTAATAATTAAATATTCCTTAAAGTGATTTTATAAATCACGTGGAAAGCATTTGAGATAAACAAGGTTCCAGACATTTCTCTTCTTCTTCTTCTTCTCCAACCGTGAAGCTTGCAAGCAAAGGTGAGTTGTCTTCTTTTGGATTAATTCTTATGAGTTAAGCATGGGTTTGGTTAATGAAGATTTAGGAAATATGATGGAGAGAAACAAGGACTTAGAAACTCAAAGAATTGTAAGTTAAGGGAGATTAAAGGTTGGGAGCCATTGAATGAAATCTTAGATTAAAGGTCATAATAAGAATTAGAAGATGGATTTGACTTGTCATCAAGCTAATTAAGAAGTAGGAGGTGATAGAATTAAAATTAGAACAAGTTGGAATTTGAGTAAGATTCTTAAATTCTATATGGAGGATTAGTTTTTTTAGTTTTAAAGGTATTGAATGGATAATAATTAGTTTAAGTAAGTGTATGAAAGTTAAAAGTATTAAAGGGAGTGAAATATGAATGTTTGAGCTGAAATGAGATGATTTTCGAGCTCAAAATAGGATTTTTAGGCTAGGGGAATCGGTACCCATTCAAGGGGAACCGATACCCCCTCAACGAATATGAATTTCCAGAACGCTAGAGGGGAATCGATACCCCCAGGGGGGGAACCGATTCCCCCATAATGAAAAAAAAGAAGAAAGAATAGAGACTAAATTATTAATCCCTTAAATTGGTAGGCTATTAGAGGTTAATTTCAAGACTTAGGCCTCTGATAATCATCTTGTAAATTTTGCTTATGTAGATATTGAGCCTAATCGAGTTCCGGAACCATCGACAAGTAGGATCAATCGAGGGAAAAACAAAGAAATCTAGGTGAGTGCATATGCATAGCATGAATATGTATTTTATTCAGTTCTAGACTTGTGATAAGTCTAGATTCAATATTTGATACATGATCAGTTCATAGGATGATATATGACATGAATCCATACCATATGCATTATGGGACATGAATATGAAAGAAAAATTATATGAGTATATGATAAAGGTATGGAAATAATAGTCTACGTGATATGAATTAGATAAATTGTGAAAGCCCATGTTATGTAAATGAGAACTATAGGTATAGTTGGCATGCCAAGGGTGAGGGTCTATGTGGTCCTTCGGGACATATATGTATTCTTTGGAACATGTGTGAAGTCTGGTGAGACACATACTTGATCTTGGCATATGTATATGTTCTTAAGGAATGATATGTGGTCCTTGGACATTATTATTGGAACATGGTGAAGTCTGGCGGCACTCCTTGCAATTCTTGGCACTTAGTGAATTATGTTCTGTGGTGACAGCATAGTGTCACTTACTCACATTATTATATGGCACTATGCAATTCTACGCGCATGGTGAATTCTATATGTGTAAGAAACATGGTTTTGGTTATTGCATTGTTTACATACATCTTATTATTGCAACCCATCTCATTTTGGCAATTACTTTATGTTTATTGATATTATTATTATATTATGCCTCACTAAGTCGATGACTTAGCGTGTGAGTGTTTCACACGTAGGATCCGATAAAGTAGACGATCGAGGTGAAGCAGCTGGACAACATTACTCCTGCAACTATCAGATCAGAAGCAACTTAATCAGTAGGTCATTTTGTTATGAAAATGGATGTTGGCATGTAATTAAAGGTTAGTTGTTATACTCTGAATATTTTGGCAAACTTATATATTATATGTATATTTTAGTTTTTGATCGATAAAGTAGCGATCGAGGTGAAGCAGCTGGAACATTACTCCTGCAAACTATCAGATCAGAAGCAATTAATCAGTAGGTCATTTTGTTATGAAAATGGATGTTGGCATGTAATTAAAGAGTTAAGGTTGTGATGCTGAATATTTGGTAAACTTATATCACCATATGTATATTATTGTATTTTTCGTAATATAAGATCAAGTATTTTACTATTATTTGTAATGAGTTGTGTTTTAAAAGTCAATGTAATATCTCTAACTCGTATCCGGGTTGGGATACGGGTTGGGGGTGTTACATTTAATAGTATCAGAGCCATGGTTTAGCCGATTCTAGGCATAAACCAGAGTCTATAGAGTCTTTAAATGGAATACATGCCAACAATTAGTGAGAACTTCTGATCTGGTATAGTATGAGTATGCTGTTTTGCTAATAGAACAATGTGTTTATTCTTATTAGATGTTCGGACATAATAGCTCCCGAAGTGAAGCGGGAGAAGATAGGCATGCTGAAAGCAGTAATTCACCTGCCCTGGCCAGGCAAGGTGAAGAACAGGCATCTCAAGGAGTGCCTGTGCAAGATCAAGATACGTTCTTCAGAACGTTAGACGCTATTCTGACGCGTCTTCAACCTTCTGCTCCACTAACTCAAAGAATGAATGTAGCAAAAGAGTTGAGAGGTTTAGGAGCTCCTGAATTTAAGGGAGAAGCTGAGGAAGGTCCAGTGTCAGCGGATCTTTGGTTGAATGATTTCATGTTAGATGGTCTCCACTGTTCTGAAGTGGAGAAGTTAGATGGAGCTTATTGAAGGGTCAGGCGAGGATATGGTGGACGAATGTCACCATAAGGATGCCCAGTGACCAGTTGACTTGGTCTTTGTTCTTAGATGAATTCAAAAACAAGTACATATGAGAACAGTTCATTCGGCAAATGAAGCAGGAGTTTTTGAATTTG